TGTGCCTCCCGGCACTCGCCTTTGTAACCCAGCGTTTACGTGGGGTTTCGCTGTAGTTGCTGCCGCTGGTGTTGCTCTGCCCCTGTGGTGTTACCGAGGATTTACGGTTGGGGAAACCAGTTGAACGGAAGTTTGTCACAGGTTGAAAGGTATGAGGGAACCAACGTAGGAACCCCATGGTGGGACTGCCTGAGGGATCAGGATTGGGATTCCTGACTTGAAATTGCCGAGGTACCTTGAACTTTGTGTTTGCTAGCACGCAAATGTGAATATGACGGGAAAGTACGGAGCAGGTCATGATGTTGTGCTGCTATTTTTTTATTATTATTTTTAGGAAACTTTCTCACTCGGCTTGGATGAAGACAGGAAGGAAAAAAAAACGTACTCTTTGCCTAGCTGCATCAGAGTTGCATGCCTGCATACAGCATACTCAGTACTCATCTTTAACCAAAACCAGCTGCAAACCTGCAAAGCATCTTCTCTACAAAGAAAGATACTCTGTTTGGATGAATGTTCTCAGTCTGAGGGACTGATTTCTGTGAAAAAAATTTTACCAGTTTTGTAAGAGGCAGAAAGGACTTGTAGAACAAGCATTTTGAAACTGAATCTTATACAGCTTGACAGCCCTTGGGCTTTTATAATAAACGTCCCTGTGCAAACTGCATTTACCATTTTATAACTTTGTTAGATACAGTGAGCTAAAAGTGAGATATTTTCTTCTTGTGATGGCACTCTTTTCTCAAACTAGTCAACAGGTTTTTCAGGCTTTGCTGTGGAAATGTCATGTGTTCTGGCCTGTTTCAAGATGCCAACAACTGTTTGCTGTCTCTTTCAGCATCCCCAATAGGGAAAAGGTTAGCTATTTAAGTTTTATGACGTCTTCCAGCACTGCATTGCCCGTGGATCCCAAAGGAAGCGATGCCTTTCCTACCAAGAAAAGGTCTGAAATTGATTATGAAGAAGAAAGGTGGGATGAGGAGACTAAAGAAATATCTGAAGGGAAACTCCACTTTTCTTCCTCTGTTGGAGCTCCAAAGAAACAGTTAATGAGTCAAATTCTGTCAAGGCGTAAGTTTACCGACATACAGCCTCCAGAAAAACCTTTGCAGGCTGAGGAATGGAACAGACTGAGGGAAGGCTTTCGATCACCTGAAATATTTGAAGAAGTGATGTTTAACAATATGGTCAGGTGCAACAGCCCCATTGATGTGGCCAAGTCCTTGCTGACCCACGTGGCAAAGAGTAACGGTGACATTGCATATGGTTTGTTGGTCAAATATCTGGCATTGTGTGTCCATCAGGGGCAGACTTCAGAAATTTGTGATGTGTATGACATAATGAAAATCAGATTTAAGATTTTAGAAAGTGGTGCTTACAACCTTATTATCAGGGGGTTGAGTAATTCGGATCAGTGGAGAATGGCCTTGACTCTTTTGGAAGAAGTAAAAAAGATTATGATTCCCTCGCGGACAAACTATGAATCCTGTATCAAAGCAGCCTGCCGTCACCAAGAAATGAACCTCGCATTTGAACTTTATCATGAAATGTTGGCTAAGGATTTGGTCCCAACCTTAGATGTCCTGCAGGCCTTTTTTGACTTCAGCAGGGGTATGAAAGGTGCTGAGTTACAAAACCAGCTGTTTGGTATTCTCTTATATTTGAGAGAGAACCAAATATACCCTCACAAAACATTTATGCGGAGTATAAAGCTATGGTTTGAAAGGTAAATAATGTTTCAATAGCAAGCTCTGGTTAATGAGGATGGGATTCAGATTATTCCAGAGATCAAGTCTAATGAGATCCCTCAACATCTCTTTTTGTTCATTGCTTCATGAGCTACACATTGTCATGAAAATGTGCATTTTATTTTTGCTCCCAAATTAGTGTCGTATATAAAATTCTTACTGATTTCACCTTTTCTTGAAAGATTTTGCCTGTTAAGTGTTATTCCTTGGTGCAGAAAGTAGGAAATTGTGATGGATCATGGCTGTCCAAAATACCCAACTTCATCTTTTTCTGGGATTGGGTCACGAGGAATATTGACGGGTATGAGGGTTTTTTCTGTAGTCTGCCAGAGTGTAGTAGTAAGTTATTTAACAATAAGATAGCTTCTCTCTTTAAAGGAAAGAGGCAGCAAATTTAGCTTAGGTTAAGTGAAGATTAAATTTTGATATTGTATAGAATAGTAGGAGAGGAAGAATCTTAATAGGAGGCTCTTTGGTTTAGCCCAGCATTTAGCAGGCCACACAGTTTGTTTTCATGAGTAGTGATGGTCAGACTCTGCAAATTACAACTAGTTATGCTGCACATGCACAGTGTGGTTCACCTGAGCCCACTGCATATTTTTCATGTCCATCTATGACTTTTTTTTTTTTTTTAACTGTTGGCTTTGATTTATGTGAGCTACACAGCTGTTTTATGAGTTAGTCTACCTGGATGGAAAATATGGCTGTGGGAATGCACTACCATTCTTAGAATAGTTTATACTGCTGTCCCCTAGGTATTTTCTTTCCCGGGAACAGCTAGGGAGCAGACAGAATAGGCTTCAGTTGAGATGAACTGGTTTGGTGGGTGAAAATCTGTTGTGGGGTGCTGTTTTCCCAGTGAGTAGAGAAGGACTTACCTGTAGATGGGCTCTGCATGCATAGGAGACTCAATGTAATAAGGAGTCCTTGGAGACTGCAGAGGCAGCGATTACATTGAAAAGTTGTATATTGCCCGTATGTAGTGGTAAACCAGTGCTGCAAGCTGAAGCTAGACAAACTCCTGTTTATATCTTCAATACTGTGTTTGACTGTTAGAACAATTCATGAAAGATTGTGATAGACTCATGGTTTAAGATTAATGTTGGGTGTTTCCCGAAAGGAAGTAGTGTTTCAAACATGAAAAAGAAATAAAGTCCATCATAGGCGGAGGAAACTAGGTGATCAGTTATCCCATCTGGATTTTTGTCTTTGAACGTGTACAAAATGCTCAGTTTTACCCGTCTGTTCCAGTTGCCAAGTGTTGAACTTGTATATGCTGGTGGTTGAAAAATAAATAAGCAGTTTACGTGGGGTTCCCAAAAAGAAATGTAATCTGATAACTTCTAGCACTGTTAGTCTTGCAAAAATGATGCAGATTGGGAGGTAACTTTTGCTGACAAAGGAAACCGATGGTAGAGCAAGCACAGAAGTGAACTCTGTGAGTGTAACTGAATAGGAGTTAGTTTTAAAAAATGATTTTTTGGAAAAGCAGACCAGCATTGACTACTAGTAGTGAGTAAAGCCAGATCCAGTACAGAGATCTGGGTCTGCAACAAAGAATCACAGTATTTTCTGCTGCCCGTTGTCTTTGTAAGAAAACTAACAAACTGCTATGTATCAGCATGAGAAGTGGGAAAGGAGGGCGGAAGCAGGACAGTTATTGCAAAGCTCCAGCATGTGTGATTGTGCAGCCTGTCATAACAGACACAGTGGCAAAGGGAGAGATGTCTGGAGTTGCATATTGGCGTGGGTATTCCTGTTCTGTGACCTATTCTGGTTTGGATGTTGTGGGCAAAAAGGAATACTTACACCAGCATGGTGGAAGCTGTGATAGTGGTGGTGATGATGATGATGTGGAGTCAAAAAGTCTCAATGCAGCATTTTGGTGTGAGCATATCTTAATCTCTCAGGATGACATCTGCATAGAAGTCTTGATTCCTGATTGCCCATCTGGTTTCTGAGATGCTATATGAATGTGCAGGGCAGCAACTTAAAAATTGTCAGTGCAGCCTGGTTATTTGTACTGTTCCAAATATTTGGGGCAACATAAACTGGGAGGTTGATGGTGGTAGTTCTCTGCGTGTTGTTAAATGCTGGTTCTTTATATGATATTTTCAGGCATTGCTAAATTATATATGAATCTTTGTAAGATTTCAGCGTAGGTGATGGATTGGTCTTTTATTTCTAAATGTTGACAAAAATAGAATTATTCTTTATCTGTAATTCAGGTATTGTTAAATAAGAATCTAATGTTTTTATTTATCTTTCCCTCTACACATATTAGTATACCAGGAAAGAACTGGAGAGGACACCTGACCAACATTAAAGACAGGTACATGCAACATTCTGTTTAAAAGTGAGGTGTTGTCTTGATTATTCTTGAACTCTTATTTCATAAATATAAAAAATTGCTTTCTTTACATAAGAAAATATTTTAATACTTGAGAATATGAAACTTTGTTGTATACATATCTCAAACTCCAGTTTCCAACTTGTTGTGCATGAAACAAGACACAACATGCACATTTGGAAAGGAGTTATGCAAAGCAGAGGCAAGACAGAGAAAAATATGAGCTGCTGTTTTATTGGATGGCTTATTTGCTTACTGTTTAGAAATTAAAGACTTACTTTTTGGTTGGCTTTATAATACCTTTGTTTAACACAATATTGAACAGAGCAGCTTTGGTGTGTAAATGGATGTCTTCTTGAAAACTGATAGTATTCACACGCTGCAGTTAATTTGTACAGATGGAAGGGTTCTCCCCACCTGATTTTCAGTGAGGACAAAATTATTATGTTAGGTTTTCGCAGGGATAACTTGGATATGTGTTTCTATTACAGCATGTTTTTCTTAATGTCTGTAAATTCCTATTTTAAATATTATTCTATTGGAAGCCTAGTTTGTAGTAATTTGGCAACTGTAAATCTATTAATTATAAGAATATCTCCAATGGATTATGGAGTTTTTTTGGTGGTTTATAAAAATTCATTGTGTTGAATACTCTGAAGTAAAACTGTGTGTAAAATCTGCTGCTTTTGAAGCCCATGAAAGAACAGTTTAACTCACTGTCCTATGAGCAGGGGTTGTTCGTTGTAAGATGGATTATTATTATGTATAAATGTGTGTGTGTTACTGTACTGTATTACGATAACTCACCAAATTCTAGACAACCGTTTTCAACCTTTAGAGTTTTAAAATTCTAAACTGATTAAGAGGTAGCTTGTTATCTATAAACTCCATTACAGACTTAGAGAGCTAAACTAACTTAAATCACCTCACATTTTATCATGGGTTAAGAATCTGTGAAAAAAGTAGTGACAAGGTGCTATATGGCAGTTATTTTGTAATAACTGTATGAACATTTTTTATTTTGAAATAAACAAGTTTGAGGTAACATAGTTGGATAAGTATTGGAATAAAATTAAGAAGGTTTCAAGAAAAGAAAAAGAATATTAGAGCTTTGTTGTGTTTAAATTAAATGGCTGCTGACAGAAAAGATCCTTAGGATTTAAGAAGGGGAAAAAAGGTTTGTTGGCTTTGTTGGAGTTTTTTGTGTGGTTTTTTTTGATCCTAATCATAAAGGACAAAGTGCTTAAGGTGTTTCTGAAAGTCATGCAGTGATTGTTACTACGCTCATCTCTGCAGTCAGCATAACTGATGTCTTAAAACATAAGTCTGTGAGATAAATAATCCAGAAGAACTGTTTTTTCCTAAACTGAGTTTGACAATTTAATAGGCTAGTTCATAGGTTATTCTGATTTTGTATAAATACTGGCAGTTATATCTAAGATGCTTATATCCAGGATATTTTCTTCTTCCTATAGCACAGAGCTCCTGGTTTCTTTGAACTGTGATAGTCAGAAGCTTGAACCTCTGCAAACAAACCTTGAAGTTTGCTGACCATTTTTCTGTGAGAGTTACAAAAGCTTTGGATTTCCAAGGTCAGCTATAGAAAGCTGCAGCTCAAGTTATTTGAGCCTGCATTGGAATTACTGTAGCGTGTAGGACTTCATGCTTGATACATAGGTGCCATGATACTCCAAATCTATCACAGAAAAGTAGTCCCTCAAAAAAGTAGTTAAATGGTCAATTAGCTGTAAGGACAGTTATACATCCTACAGAGGTGCAGCCTTCTGTGTGGGAATTTCTTGGTGTGGAATCCTAAAATGAACCATGAGAAGTCACAAAAATTGCAAGGTAATTTTAAAGGTATAGTTGTGAAAAAGCAGCACTTAGAGTAAGGGTCCAGTCTTGCAAGATGCTGAATGTTTCTTCTGCCTGTTTTGCCTCTGCTCCCTTTGGGAATCCACATTGAGAATTCACAAGAAGAAACTAACTGGCTCCAGGAATTGTGGTTGTTGATAGGTGGTTGGGGTGGGTTAATTTGTTGGGGTATGGGGAGGTTTGGTTTTTTTCAAGTAATTTGAATGTGGTAGTTGCAGAAGGATCCAAGTTAACTATGGGACAGGTCCTTAAACTTTAGGCTTAATGGTTTGGAAATAGTCTCGTAACAGTTCGTTAGGCCTTTCTTTTCTGTTGCCAAAGTGTGAAGTTCCTTAATGCAATTAGATGTATTTAATGGTAACTTCACAGCTATATGAGCAGCCAGTCTCATTGATCATGTTAATATGTAGGCTAAGCCTGCAGTGGCCACAGTGGGTTGAGCAACTGGAGTGTATTGTTTGTATCGAGCAGTGAACATCCATTGTTGGGATTCCATACGTAACTTGTTTTGATGCAGTAGATGCACTGTCAGCATTGCAATTAATGCTGTCTTGGCTTATGGTATGTGCATTAATATGTGTTAGATGTCAGTTGTTGGGAGAATTTGACATTTCTGATTGCCATGGTTTTAGAAAACTACAATGACTTAGCTTTGACATCTCTAGGATATTTCTGTGGAGACAGTCAGGGGAGAATAACTCATTCCATTTTAACACTTAAAGTTCAAATCCTATGAATCAGTTCTGAGACTGTGCTTGTGAAAATAAGATATTTTGATAGATTTAGAGAAGAATGGTTACTCCTTCAGTTCAAACTATGCCCAGCTGAATGAATATAGGCTTCTGAACAGAGCACGATAGAGAGTAAAAATGTGAAACATCAACAACATATCCTGCATCTAAGAGAAGCTCAAATGGAAGAAAGTGGCAAAAAACTCATAATTTGTCAGCCAGGAAGAACCAAAGACCCATTCAGACTAAGTGTCATTTTGTTGCCTGTTGGAGAAGCTGCGAGATTCTGCTTATTTTCTTGGTGCCATGGCTGGAGTGTACAGTCTGGTGATGAAGATGCAGGCTGGACCTCATGTCTAATATTCTTGGCAGATGTGCTTGAGAAGAGACATAACTGACTGTGAATTTCCTTGGTGTATGTTAATGTCCTATCTGACTGTTCTTTGACTGCGTCCTGGGCTGCATCGAGAAGTGTGACCAGCAGGTCAAGGGAGGTGATTCTCCCCCTCTACTCTGCTCTGGTGAGACCTCACCTGGAGTACTGTGTTCAGCTGTGGGGCCCCCAGTATAAGAAGGACATGGACCTACTTGAGCAGGTCCAGAGGAGGGCCATGAAGATGAACAGGGGGCTGGAGCACCTCCCCTATGAGGACAGGCTGAGAGAGTAGGGGTTGTTCAGCCTGGAGAAAAGAAGGCTCCTGGGAGACCTTCTAGCAGCCTTCCAGTACTTAAAAAGGGCCTACAGGAAAGGTGGGGAGGGACTCTTGATCAAGGAGTGTAGTGATAGGAGAAGGAATAACCATTTCAAACTGAAAGAGAGGAGATTTAGATTAGATATAAAGAAGAAATTCTTCACTGTGCGGGGTGGTGAGGCACTGGCACAGGTTGCCCAGAGAAGCTGTGGCTGGCCCCCCCCCGGCAGTGGTTCAAAACATGGGGCTTTGAGCAACCTGGTCTGGTGGAAGGTGACCCTGCCCATGGCAGGGGAGTTTGAACTAGGTGGTCTTTAAGGTCTCTTCCAACCCAAACCATTCTGTGATTCTATGATTCTCTTTCCTTTTTCATGTAGTTATTAAAAAGTTAATCCTGGAAAAATTTCTAGGTTTAACCATAATCAGAGATGCAAGTCAAGAAGTGTACTCATGAAATCTATGTATGTTTGTAGCTCATTGGTTTGTCTTTAGAAAGTGTATCTGCAAAACTTTCAGGTAAGTGTTTTAGGAAGGAAAAAAAAAAGGTTAATGTAGTTCACCATTCAAGGACAGAGATGCAGGTTGTTTTGTTTCAGTCCTCCACTGTTACTGACCTTACATGCTGGTTTTGTGGTGAAGCGCAGAGGTTTGTGGTAGTGATTCATGACATAGCTTTTTGACCTGGGTTTGGAGTTGTGTGTTGTGTTGATTATGTGTTCAGTTTATAGGGGCTAACGAGAGAGACAGCTAGGAAAGAAAAGAATGAACAAATGGGACATGGAAGCGATGACAGTTCCAGTTTGGTTTCCTTCAGACTATGTGTTAGAGCAGAGGTTATGCCCGTGGGACATGAAACAGTAGAAAAGGCTAGATGTTAGAAAAGATGTTTGTCCTTTCTCTGAAGATACAGTTCTGGGGGTTCATACCAAATCCAATACTCAGAAATCCAGAGGTGGACACAAAAGTTAGGCCTGTCTTGTTTTGCATCTTGGCATTATGTGTGTGCTGTGCTAGCAGGCTGTATGAACAAAAACCCAACATAGAGCAGTTGACATGGTTCTTGTGGTCACAGTTTGTTTTGATGGCCTTTCCCAGTGCTGGGGATTTTTTGCAGCACTAGGTTGGTCAGACAAAAAGTTGTGCCCCTTGGCTGGCGTGGATCTGTGTGTTCTTTGTACCATTGCCTCACTTGTGCTCACTTGAAAATTTTTCAGGATCTGCTATAACGTCAGCACTCTTCTTGAGGAAACTAAAGAGTTTGAGGTCTGTTTTTTTTCACATCTCCTATTGTTCTATTCTGTAATCTTTTATTTTATGATGGATTTTCAATCCCTTTGGTCTTTTAGTATTAAAAACATGCACAGACAGATCAGTGGAGAGTTCTTGTGTGTGTGTCAGAGACAAAACAATGTATGATTTGGGATTTGCAGAACCGCAGTTGTTGCCATAGCTGCTGGCCCTGCAACAGGGAAACTAAGAGTACTGAAAAGCGACGATGTGAATGATAGAAGAAACTGTCCCTGTGCTGCATGCAGTCAATACAATCACTGGCACAGTTGTGCACGATGGAGCGGTGTTTCTGGCTCTGGGAGGTGAACGCTAAATTCTTTCCTTTTTTCTTCTTTTGGGAGGGGTTATTTCTACACACTTGTGGCAGGTTTGATTATTCCAAACCTTGATAAACCAGGCACAGATAGCTTAGGTTTTTTTGTAGCGGCAACCTGTGGCACAATAGTGGAGCATTTCTCTGGTGCTTTTTCTTGTTCTAACACTTTGGAATGGATTTATAGCTAGACCAAAGCTCTGTGTCATGCCTGCTAGCTTCAACTAGTATGCCTACAAGCTGCTTCGTATGTTCTGGCCAGGCCAGTGCAACTGCATCACCTTCCCACATTGAGATCTGGGCTGTATGTGTCCATCGTGACTTTCCTGTCTAGTAGGGAAACTTTTAAATACTAGAGATGTGGAAATTCGTGGTAGTGCTGAGAATTAAACTCTGATCTCCTAAGGCCTAAATAAATGCTGGTGAATATTTAAAAACTTTTTTTTTTTTTTTTTCCCATGCTGTCATGCAGAGTTTTAGCCCTAAATCCTCAAATGTCTTTAGAGTTAAATCTTTGATCCTGATCCCACTAAATCACATAAAAGTATTTCAAGTGACTTCAGTAGGTTTTGGATGCATCCCAGAAAGATTACAACTGATTTTCTGGTGATTGTATTATGTTGGAGTTCAATTGTGCTCATACACAGACACTCAATAAGTTAGTAAAATTTGAGGTATTTGTTATTTAAAAGCCTTTATCCTTTTGTTTTCTTGTTTCACTATTATTACAGCGGACAGTGCCCAGTTTGCAACCATCAGCTGGAGGACAGTGACCTCACCGAAGAGGAGTATAATAATCTCAGAGAAAGAATAATAAGGGATGTGATACATGGAACTGACCCTTTTAGAAAGACAACCCCACAGGTAGGTCTTGCATGCTGCAGGTTCATTGGCTAAGAGAGTAATATACAATTAGTGTTCAGGTACTTTGAAAATGCCACAAATATTTTTTTTCTTTGCTTTAAACATTAATAGGCCATTAGATACTGAAGTATCCTATGTGTCATTTTCAGCTGTGTTTATAAAATGGGTCTAAACCTTGGCCTCTTTCATACTGTCTTTTTTCTTATATTTTCAGTCAGCAGTTAATGGACACTGAAATAATTAAAATGTCTTTTTTTTTTTACATTAAAAAATTTAAAAGGTGTGAAAATCTTTTAATAAGACCTCTAGTATTTTGAGCTTGCAAAAAAGTAGAAGTCCTAGTGTTTCTTAAGTTCAGTGTCATATCTGAAGCTTACATTTATGTGCTGAATATTTGATTTTTTTCAGTTGGGCAGCTGTTTGCCAGAAACAATAAAGAACTCATTATCACTTTGTTCAGTCAACTTTCACAACCCACCAACCAACCAACTACGTATCAATTTTAAAGATGCACTTTCATATTTATAATTCCAGTATACATGAGAAGTATCAAGCTTTTCAAAGGTCATTGTAAACATACAAGAGGACGTAATTCCCGGACACTGTAATACCCTGTGGTTCTCTCTCTTACTCCTTTTGTGTGGAGATCAGCGCTTCAGCCATAGCGGTAGGGAATGGGGCTGAACTCGCTAGGTGGAGCCCACGCCACATTTTGGGATGGTTTTGCTTTACTTTTAAGTATTGATGTAGTTTTGCTGCAGCAGGCACCTCAGTTCTGCACCACTTCTGAAAATATGGAAGAGGACACCAGGTTTAATCCTTCAGGCTTTCTACAGACACAGATGTTGTGCATGTGTAGCAGTTACAGAAACTTGAAAGAGTTAATGTTGGGGTGCTTGTAGTGCCTGCAGCCTATTGTTCAGATAACTAATTTCCACACAGATTTCCCCTCAATTCAGGGTTTTTAGCTGATCTAGCTGTGAATTGTATAGGGGAGTAAAATTATCCTTAAAAATGTAGCAATAATTTTAAGTATTTAATGGGTACTGGTGTTCTGTAATATTACACGATAAACAAAAGGATGTGTTTTACTGCACATTGCACAACTAACTCTATCTGTTCTCTGAAAGCCTTTGTGAAAATTATGGTTGAGGTTGGTTTATTAAAGAAAGCAAGAACAACAAAACTTTTAATTTCTTAACGGGTTAACTGTCTAGTCTGCGAAGTTTCATTTCTGTTCCCTGTGGTGGCTGCTGGCTTGAAAATTTCAAATTTGTCAAGTACACAGGGCTAGATTAGCAGTACCAGTTGAAGGTGGGGGGATTTAGGAAAGGAGTTCTGAGTAACAGGAAATTCACGCCCAAGCTGAGCAGTAGTGGGAATGATGTGCCCCCTGTTTGAGAACCTGATTGATCAAATGAATGTGATCTCATGAAACAAAGACTCAATACACTATTTTAAGTTTTGATGTCAGTAGATTTTGTTAGTCCATGTGATAGCTGAAATTCCATCATTTACCACTCTGGGGCCACCCACTCACTAGTTCCAAGTTGACCTTGTTCCAGTTCCATATCAGCAGGCAGTTACTGGGAGGCCGAATGGAGATGAACTTGGGGTGTTTACTGTTGGCCGTACAGCTTAAAGTCTGCTTTGTCTGTGGATTTTGAGCATGGATGTGGGGGTAGAGGCAAAACAGTGTCGTGATGTGTCAGAGGTTTCCAGAAATAAATTTGGGGCTTTTTAATTGCCTTTGTGCTGTGAAAGCAGACATGTGGTGATGAAATGTGCTGCCCATTTTAGGTATGCCAGACTGTGTGACTTCTCCTGCAGCCAGGGTTTTCCAGAGGGGAAACTAGGTGAAGAGGCTGAAAATAGGATGTAAGCAAGCATGTCTGAGAGGGGGGTTTCCATTTTCCAGTCAGTCACTTTTTTGTAGTAGCCGCAATTCAAATGGAAAACATTTTAGCTTTCTATTCCTTCTTTTCTCCTAACTAGTTTTCTTTAGTGCATCTGTGTTCCTTGCAGTGAAACGATTATTCAGGGAAACAGTTTGAGTTGTTTTGAGCTCTAAACGTTTGTGTTTTTTTTTTCCAACAGTGTTTCAAGTTGAAGATGTAGTGCATTTAGAATCTTATATTTGTTTGTTTTTTCACTGAGGAATAGTCTTTTGTCTTACTTTTGCAACAGCATCATTGCTTTATTTGATTTTTATCTCTCTCACTGAAGAATAAATGTGATCAGAGTAGAAAATTAGGAGCAAAGATTTCATTTGTTGAAGATCCCCCCCCAACCAGTCTGTTGTATTATGATTTTAAAAAAAATATTTTTGTAATTAGTTTTAGTGAAGAAAATCAAACAACTTTGTCTTGTGCATCAGAATGGTAGTGAACACTATTTATGAATATGTTGAAAAGACAGCTTGCATGAACTATAAAACTGATTATCTGTGACAAGGAAATACCTGTTACACATTAAAAATAGACATCAGTTCAGATCTTTGTGCACAATCACTGAAAGGTCTGTTAGGATGTCATAGTTGTTGATCTAACATAGCAAGCCACAACCTTGCCGACTGTCATAGAAAGAAAACAATTGTAACAAAACTGTCACCTTTTGTACCAATGTCTATATGATGTTTTCAGTTGGATGACTGTTTACTCTGACTGCATTTAATTTGGAGCTATGCCATTGAGCCTCAGATGATATAATTGGTATACTGAGAGGCAGAATCAACTTTTGCTGTGACTTTCGTGTTGCAGCTGCTCCCAGGTGTTTCTCTCAAATACGCAAATGCAGTAATTTACTTTATGTCCCTGGTAAGCCGGAAAGGACTGTTGTGCATGGGAGATGTGTACGTGCTGTCAAGAAGGCAGGAAGAGGTGGGTTTGTGGGCATGTGAAGTCCCCACACTAGATCTGAACTAAATGTGTAAAGGGGTTTTACATGTTCTTCTAGAATGTAGTAGAATAGAGGGAGAAGAGGAAGTGACCCATTCATCTCAGTGTTGTTTTTTGCAACTGAATGAGGTTGTGCTGTTTCTAAAGAGCCTTGAAAATAAAGCTCTATCTCTTACTTTTAGATTGATGCCTTTTTTTTTTTCTGTAATGCTTTGGTTCTCTTTCCGTATGTGCGTGTTTCCCAACTCATGATTTGCCCCAAAGCCCTGTGTGGTGTATGTCAGTCCTGTTCTGAATGGAGTAGTTCATTACTTCCAAAAACTCTATGTACTCCAAACTGTAAGAAGACTGTGTCGAACGCAGTCTAGCCTAACCCCAACTGGCAGAGACTTCACTCCCAACTTGCACTGTGATCTTCTCATTCTTCTACCTGCTTTGTGGACTCTCAACTTGTGGTCAAAGTCAGCTAAATTGCCTTCACTTGAGCTGTTTCCAAGGTGAGCTACCTTTACCTGTCCCGAGATGCCAGGGTGGTTATGGCTGTCCATCTTGGACCTGGATGCCATGGCTTCTTTGCCTGAGCTCAGGGAGAAAGAGAAGGCTAGTTAATTTGGTTAGGCTTGCTCTGTCTCCTGAGAAGGTCAGGGGCTGAAGAGGAGAAAACCCCTTCCCAGCAACAGCTGATACTGTGTGCACAGTGTGTGCCACAGCCCAGGCTACATGTGCCGTTTACCTCTTCTACCTCTATTCTCATATGTTACCTCCTCCCTGCCGCTGCCTGGGAGCAAAGAACTTTCTGAGGGGAGGAAATGGGGAAGGAAGGAGAAGGCTGGGTAGAATTTCTCCTGTGGGTTCACGTGTCCCTTTCCCTCCCAGATATGTGCCACATTGCAGCAAAGGGATCAAATTCCCAGTTAAGTGTTTGTTCTCTACAGAAGTAGTGCGAGAATTTGTCATGTTGCTGAATGCTGCAAAGCCTCTTGCACTGAGATGGGGGCTGGTTTGGGCAGGAACAGTTCCCATGGTTTCTTCTCAGGTGGGAATGACTGAAAGTCTTCTCGTCAGTTCTGTGGCAGGGTGGGTCACTTTGCTAGGTTTCAGTTTAAAATTACAGCAGGCTGCTTCAGAGCTAGCTTCTGCAAGAACCATGCTGGCAGGCTGAAAATCCTGCTTTCTGTTGATTCTGGAGAGGGATACAGGGGTGGTGAGCTGTAGTTAGGGTTAGAGCTAAGCCTAAGATGGTAAAGATTTCTGAGCTAGTGGCTTTATTTTCTTTTTTTTCTTTTTCCTTCCTTCCTCTCTTCCTCTCTTCTCAGAGGCCCAAAAGTAGGATGAATTCTGAGGTTGGCTTAGATGAGCAAGGTATGACTAAGTTTTGGATGGATGTCAGTTACTGGCATATAGTAGACTGGGGTTTCAGGATGGCAAGGATGGAAGAACCTGTTATTGCTGAATCTGGAAAGTCCTGGAAGTGTGATGTTTGGAGATTAGTGTTTTGGACAGCAGATGGTGGAGAACTTGAGTTACTGTTGGAGCCCTACAAGTTCATTAGTATTAAGTGAGAGCTAATGCTGGTGGAGATGAAGGGCTTATTGGTAGCCTTTTCGGTGCATGTTGATGTTGGGCTATGGATAAGACTAGGGTAAGTGTTGATATTTGGGAGTTAAAATACTTGAAGCACTCACTTAATATGGCTACGGCCAGAGCGTTACATTAGAGGTGGCATTGGTAAGGACAAATGTCCTATCTAGTCTGCCACAACACTAATCAAAAAATTTGCTTGTAGCTGTTGTTTGATTATAGGATGGCCAGTGCTGAATAGTGTAATTCTACAGGTTTTGCAGAATAGCAGATTGATGACTAAGTCCACTGTTGCCTTGTGGCTAATCTTTAGTTATGGGATGGCTATGGTCATCAGCTTGTAGATAAGGTAGGGTTCACACTGCAGTTAGAATTAAATACATCTGCAGATAGGGTTGAACAGCTTTTTTTGTTTGTTTGTCAGATCTCTGCTAAATATGGGCCCCTGAACTCAGTCAGGATAGGGTTAGTATTCAGTAGGGCAGTCTGCATTGCCTTAAGAGCCAGGTTTGCTGCTAGATC